CCCCCCCCCCCAAAACCTTGCCACCCAAACCCCATACAGTGGCATGGCTCTGGGCTGCCACAGCAATTCCCGCAAGCCCTGGATCATGCTGGAAGGGGGCTCTGCTGGGCTGTGGCACTGCTGGATGCACATCTGGATCTCTGAAGTCCCCTCGCCCTCCGGCAGGCTTGGGGGCAGGCAGGGACCAGCCCCTTCCCCCTGCCCTCCAGCCTGCAGAGGTTGTGGCCGCCGCGAAGCGCTGCTGGCACTGCGGGGGCTACGCTTTCCTGGCCCTCCCCTTCCCCACATACACACGCTGCCCAGCTTCCCCAGGCGAGCGCTCATTCCCAGCCTGGCTGGGGCAGCCCCGGGGAGGGACAGGGAGGCTCCAGGATCCAGAGGGGAGCGGGGGGTGCAGTGTCTGAGCCAGGCTCCACACAGCTGTGGCCTCTCTGTCCAGAATACAGCCTCCGCAAAGCATCGACCCTGGAAGAAGAGGGGGCTGTCACCCGCCCACCTGGTTCGTGGCATCCCAGGCCCAGCCTTCCCAGCCCGGGAAAGGGCAGTGTGGGCCGTGTGCTGCTGCGTGATGGTGGGGCTGGGAGCGCAGCCCTGATGCCGCATGGGCGCAGCCTGCAGCAGGCACCTGCTCTGGTCGGGGAGCAGTGCTGCTGGGGGTGCAACAGGAGCGCCGTGGGGCCCGGGGTGCGGGCTGCTGGTCCTGCCTCTCCCGCAGGTGTGGAGGGGATGTGTGTGCCATGGCCCGGGGTGCTCCCCACCCACCTGTAGCAATGCAGTAATGCACCACGGAGCAGCATGCATCACAGAAACACAGAATCCCAGGCTGGAAGGGACCTCCAGGATCATCTGGTCCAACCTTTCTGGCCAAGAGCCCCGTCCAGCTGAGGCTTGACAGTGCCCAAGGTGACGGAGTCAACCTCTCCCCTGGGGAGATTATTCCCATGGGTGATTCTTCTCATGGGGAAACATTTCCCTCTCATGTCCAATTGGGAATCTTGTCAGGATCAACTTGTACCCATTCCCCCTTGGGGAGTTCTCTCCATGGGACTCCTTGTGACAAGGGAGTCTCCATCTTCCCTGTAGCCACCCCTTAGGCACTGGGACGTGGGGATGAGATTCCCCCCCAGAGCCTCCTGTGCTCCAGGCTGAACAAACCCAGCTCTCCCAGCCCATCCCCATACGGCGGAGAGAGGCTTCCTAGCCCTTGGGTCACCTTGGTGGCCCTGCTCTGGACCCCCTCCAGCCTGCCCACAGCTTTTTTGTGCAGCAGGGACCAGAACTGGGCACAGGATTCCAGGTGTGTCCTGGCCAGCGCTGAGCAGAGTGGGATGAGGGCTCCTGTATCCCTGCTGGTGATGCCCGTGTTGATGCCCCCCAGCACCCTGTTGGCCTTGGCTGCAGCAGCACCCTGCTCACTCCTATGGAGCTTGTTGGCCACCAGGACCCCAGGCCCCTTCCCACAGAGCTGCTCCCCAGCCAGGGGGTTCCCAGCCCGTGCTGCACTCCTGTACTGTGTTTCCCAGGTGCAAGACCTTACACTTCTCCGTGTTCAGCTTCATAAGGTTCTTGTTTGCCCCCTCTTCCAGCCCATCCAGGTCTCCCTGCAGGGGGGCTCCCCCTTCCTGAGCATCCACATCCCCACTCAGTTTGGTGTCATCTGCAGACTTCATCAGGCTGCACTTGATCCCGTTATCCACCATCCCTCAAACATTGCCGTGCCACCCGTAGCTTATCGCCAGCAAGCACGATTTTATCCCTTCCTCCCCACCTTGCCTGAAG